AAGAGTGAGAATGAGAATAAGCTGGTAACAGCAACTTGTGGATGTGGAGACCATGAACTGGGGCACGGAGGGACCGAATGAAGGTTAAAGCCTAACTGGTCAGAAGCCATGCGGTGCCCCTGCACGTGGTTGTAGTCCCCTCCATTTGCTTTGCTCCCCCTGCCAGTTTGCAGGATCCTCCCAAGCAGCATAAAGGCTGGAGGTTAACAGCACATAAGCTGGCCGAGGTAGCTCAGAAGTGCTCTTGAATGAGAACACCTGCAAGGGAAGGGAAGCTGCAGTCACTCAGGCAGGGCTGGCAAACACAAAAATGGGAACGCCAGAAAGCCAGCTTGGGAAACACCCCCACCTAGAACTAGGGAAGCTGCTATTCCCAGGCAGGGAGGAATCTCATCACTCAGCGCTGATCACTTTGCCTCCCTTGTAACTTTTGTGCTGGGTGCAGGTTTTCCCATCTGGCTACACAACGTGAAGCAGGAGATACAGAGATGCTCCTTATTGTGTTTCTTCCACCACTGGCGTGGGGACTGTCTGACAGCACTACCCATTGGAGATGGCTAGGGAGAATGAAGAAAGACAGGAAGCATGGTCCAGGAGCTAGGCTAAGAGAGAATTTGGGAGCACCACATTCTCTGTGCTTTGGTTCCTTCTCTATAAAATAGATCCAACAGTGCTTTCCTTCCTTCCTTCCTTATTACATAGATAAACGTGACATGGGTTACGGAGGGTGCAAATACTCCGCAACATCAGGACTATCACAGAGACTAGGAGAATCATAGCTATGAGCAAGGAGTACAGCAGCAATTGGAAGATTTCAAGCTAGGACCCTGTAGGCTACTGGAGCTGGATAGGGAAATTCAGGGTCACCACTGATTCATCCTATCCACCCAGAAATTCCTACCTGGGCCCCTGGTTAAAGAGCGCAGCTTTATAACGCTGCTTCCCCTGTCTACAGCAGCTTTGTATAACCTGCTTTGCTCCTTCAAAAATAGCAGGCTTATGGAAAAAAAAGGAACCCTATTTGAAGAGATTTCCCTTTAGTGGGGTCACGTTTTGTGTGTCACTGCAGAGTTAGAGGATCAGGAGATGTGCAGGGGTTTAGGGGACACCCTGGTTATGTGCGTAACCACCGGTAAGCTTCCTTACCATTCTCTCCAGCTTCCAACATGCCTTGCAAATATCGGAACGATCCAGACTGCTTAGGCTCCGAAACCGGCTTTTCATAATCCTGAAGCATCTTGTAGACATCTGACTCCACATCAATCCCGTTTCTGTTTCTTGGGAGAGACTTTAAGGGGTCGATGCTGTTTAAAAACAAAGCAATGCTCAAGTCAAATATAAACGGCAATTATCAGCTAATCAGGGATGTACTAAAACGCCCCCCCCCTTAGATTTAGTTCATTTACACAGATTGAAATTAAACACCTTTCTCTCCCCTTGTGTTTTTCTGCCTGAAGGGAAGCCTGTGCTAGAAAAACAATCATTGAAACTAGGAAAGATAAAGTTGTTCCCTGTTTGTTCTTCTATTGAGCAACGCAGCTAGGATTTGACTAGTTACCAGATGCCTTAAGGAAAGAGGGCAGCTGCTGACAAGCATTGTAAATTGCTCTACCACACATGGAATTTATTGAAAAAATGGGTAAAACAATGCATTTAATTAATTATGTAGGGCTACAGAATCCACCCACCCCTCTTACCATTGTTACAGTATCTGGCATCCGGAGAGTACGCTTTGCTGCCAGGCACAGGCATGACAGTGAATGACGCTATCATCAACAAATGCATCTTTTTAAGTTAGCCTCTCTGCAGGTGACGCTGTATTAAAAGCCCCATTTGTCAGAGAAAGCCCACAGCTTAAACGACAACAAAAACACTGGCTCATACAGCGATGAGATTGGGATAAGAAAGCATTCTCAACATTTCCCTCTCACATATGCTCTGACCTTCAACATCAAGACTTGAAGCTGTTTATTGTTCGAACCTAGCATGACTTGGGATACAAAGAATGACAAATAGGAAATGAAGCCCCTATTCAACAGTTCATCCAGTACATCAAAACATCAAAGGCATGGTTTGAATTAAAAAATAGTTCAGGTGCATGTTTAAGCGTCCTGCCAAATAGGATGAATTTAAGTACTTTTGTGCGTTGTTGAGGCCTAAAAGCATAATACAATTCTGTGGGGAAAGGAGTCCTTTTTTCTTGTAAAGTTCCAAGGACAGCAATGTCATTATAAAAGCAATAAAACTAGCGAGAGCCCTTAACCCCATCAGACAGCTTAACACATTTTAGCCACCATCTGACTCATTTTCTCCACCAGCATCATATTCATGCCTATTAAAAAACCCAAACAAAACTCACTTTCAAAAAATGCTAAAGCTACGTTTTCTGGAAGTAATCTGCAACCCAGACCTCTTCTGTGCCCAGCATCTGTTCCGAAGACGCATGTGCTGGCAGGCAGTTCGGGTCCTCCAAGCTACCCTTGCAAGATCAGACAAGCGCAGCCCTTAAGCAGCTCAAGGGAGAGCTTGCAATACCTCGTTTCCAGCGCGTCTGTGTGGGGCTGGATTACTCAGCACTGAGACAGGACTTGTGTAGGAGTTCCCCCACAGCTCCGACGCCTATGAAATCTTGAGACAAGTAGCAGAAGCGCTGCTGCTGGGAATAGCACCTGGGGACAAAGGCTCCTAAAGCAGCTGGGCCAGCCCAGCTTTCTGGGCCAGCCAAAACTCTTCATGTGTACCCCAAGTGCCTCTTTTCTTTGCTACAGCTCTTTCATACATCAATTCTCACATTTTTGTGAGAAAGGACGCTTTTTTGGGGGAACAAATCCAGCCTGATCAAGCACAAATTCAAAAGAGAACATTGTCCTGACCCAATTCTACTCACATACTGCTGAAGTTAATCTCCCTACTTTTGGCTCATGGACACAAATAACATCAAATTTTCTTCTCTCTAATTTTTGTGCAGTTCCCTTCTTTCCAAATTCATTAACTTTCCTGGAGCAGTACAAGGAATAATCTGGCTCACAGAGTCACTGAAATATGAATTCATATAAGCATGTAGTTCCTGAGCTGAAAAGAAACTATCTGCTCTTTATTTGATACAGACGTTACTTTCTTGTAGAATATTTTGCCAGTCTGGAAAAGCATAAATCATCAGAAGACATGTGAAAGCATCACAGTCCGCAGCCTGGCCTGTCTCAAAGCTAGAGCTATCCATCCAAACGGTTCCTGGCTATAACAGCTTTTTCTTTCCTATGTGCATTATTTATTTGTCTGCCTCCTGGACAGCTGCACTGAACAGATCTCAAATTTATAAACAACCCAGTTTACTGGGGTTAGCTCTCCATGCAAAAAGTTCCAAAATCCATTTCAAGTGTTTGCTCCTAGGTTTGTGAAAGTGCAATCCTAACTTCTTGGAGGGTGAAACCCTTCAATCCTTCTTTGAACATACACTTTGAAAAACCAGAATACTGACATGTATGACACTCCCTGGCTTTAATCCCAGCCTGGGGAGCCTGATTTGATGCTTCCTAATCTACTTCCATAAGCAATAGTAGGATTTTATGTAGATATGGAAAATCAGTATGCTTAACCACCTCAGAGATGAGCACTGAACATCACTCCAGCCTCACCAGCTTACATTCACACAAAGGTTCGTGATTGCTGCATGCGCATGTGGCCATTTTGTTCAGAATTTGCAACCCCCAAAACCATCAGTTTTTGTTTCGTTTCCCCCACATACGCTTGACTAACGCAACAGGAACGAACCCAGAGTCTCTAGAGCTAAAACTAGGAGTTTCACTAGAGCATGCACCAGAAAGTCAACTTTCTCCTGGCCTCAGTAGGTAGGAAACAGATAGGGACGTGTCAGTATACGTACTCTAAAACCATCTTTGTATTAACCACAGCGGAAAACAGAAAATTGCATTGCTGAATGCGAGCAGTACAGTCAAATGACGATGCTTTCATCCTACCTTTGGGAAGATGCAATGTGGAGCCCACTCATCTGGACTGGCAAACTCGAGTCAGTGTTGTTTGCATAGAGGCGGGTCGGATTATTGTACTGTAAATTCAGCATCTGTTTGTTATCCACTGGGGTCCCTCCAGCAGTAGGGGGAATTGGCTTTTTGTTCTGTGCAGGTCCATTATCCTAAAAGAGAAAAAGCAGCAGAAAAACCTGTGAGGTTTGTAGTTCTTACTACCAGCTACACGGACAGGCTGCTTTACGCTGTGCAGTCTGTGCTAATAATATTCTCATGTGCTATCAGTATTAATTTTCACACTGTGAAAATTAGAGATGTGCACCAGAAAAACAAAAATTCAGATTTCATCTGTTATCAGATCTTGCTGAATTCATACAGCTTTCCTTAGTCTCTAACCAAATAAGCTTGCCTGTTTCTCCATATTTCACCATTGCCAATATTCTGCATTTATTCTCCCGTAAAAGCAGCATTTGTTATTTCCTCAAAAGAATGGCTAAGAGTCTGCTTCCAATTTCATGTTACATCCATCATTCATACAGCAATCATCACTCCTCCAACTTCAAGGCATTCGCTCCTGATTTACACTAGCAAAACAAGATCAAAAGCAAGCTTCACAGTCATGCACGCCGACTGTACAAGACCTGACACCGAGGGGCAAGCCCTGGTGTTTTTACTTATTGGGAACTATCCCTCATCCAGAAAGATCTGCGTTCGTTTCAGGAGGTTTCTGCCTGAGAAATATCAGTCATTTACAGCGTGATAAATATTTTAATCAACAACTTAACTTGCTATTATTTATGTTTTTGTTGGTTACTTAATTCCCTAGGCAAATTAATATTTGCAGGGAAAACTAAGGGAAGGTTTTTATCACATTACCACAAGTCAGGAACCTACCGGCCATTAAAGTGCAAATTTTCATATTATTTTAGCTACGCAAAACATTATGCGTGTGTATTTGAAAAGCTGGGTTAGTCAGTCCTGTGCACACCCACTAAGAAAACAATACCTGCTACTAGGCTTTGCACAGGCTCCCGGCGCCGGGCCAGCGTTCCAGCTCTGCCACCACCCAGCTCGGGCAGCTATCAGCAGGGAGCAGCGCTGCAGTACGTCCACCAGGAAAAGAGAGGCCAGTTCCAACTGTTTGTCAAAAGCATTAGCAAGCATCTAAAGCCTAAGGACAACTGCCATCTGCCTGTTTTTCCCATCCATCTGGGTCAGAAACATGCCTGTGCTGACGGGAGAAATGGATGCTTACATGAGAGGCGTTAATCTGTTTAATCTTTTTTAAATCTGTTTCAGGCCGGATCTATAGCAATGCTGATTTACACCAGCTGAGAACAATGCCCAAGTTTTCAGTTGATTAAAGCTTGTGAAAAAACAAGTAGAAAAAGAAAACACTACATTGCGAACACACACATAACAAAATGCATACTAAGGGCTCTAATACAAAGCTTACTTTTGACTGAAATCATCCAATAAATACTAATCGGAAACAAGCGTCTATCACTGGTGCATAGGAGAAAATACTGGCATTTCCAAGTGTAGTACAAATGAACAGCTAAGGGAAATAAAAACCAGATCCTACCAGAAAGAGATTTTCAAAGTCCAGCCCTGAAGTTCTTCCTAAGGCAAAACTCCCATTGATAAAAACAGGACTTTTTTCTAATTAAGAACTGCAAGTTGGTGCCTTTAAATTTTTTTCTGCCACCGAGTAACTCCAGACTTGGTCAAACTACCAGCTCTTTGCTTTACTCGGGGACGTAAATGGTTGCCCCACAGAGCCTCCTCTGCACTACTATTTCACACACACCACACATACGTGCGCGCACACACACGTGGGAAAAACTGCCCCCAACACAGTAAATTCAAATTAGCTATGAAAAGGGAATTTCTCTGCCAGGAATAAAGTAATTTTAAACCTTTCCCCAATTTATATTCTGTAAGAAAAATCACAACCAGACTACAAGTTTCCAATTCCCAGATTTATATTATTACTTCAAGAGAAATGAAAAATAAAAAAACACTTTTGACCATGCTGCAGAGAGAAAAAGAAGGATCGTGTTTCAGAAAAAAACAATGGCCCATACTGGCCACTTCAAATCACAGACATAAACATAAAACATAGCTGTCCTTTCTAACAGCCATTATCATTAATTATCTGTGTATCTGGGCCAAACGTGCACTTTGTTCAAGTGAAATTGGGCATCCCCCCAGCCAGAGCCAAATTCCCACCGCAGCCTTCTCGGGGTACACCACTGGAAACGGGATGACAAGGTGGGACCTCTGGGAGACAGAGCTTGCTGCTCACATCAATCCTCTCCTCCCTGAAACTACGTTTCTACCAGAACGGCTTGTTTTGCTCCAGGAATAGGTTGCAACTGCCCTAGGAGCCCTTTGCAGCGCAACGCTAGAGAGGGACGGGGCTCTGGGTTTTAGTGGGCTTCATCCTGCTCCTCCCATGCAAGGCTGGAGCCACCTCCTTCTGCCAGCTGGAGAGGCCAAGGACACCCAGGGGTTCCTGGTGTTCCTCCCTCTGACCTTGTGCGTTCCTCCACGTGAAGGACAACCCGATCCTTCACTGCTAAGGCATACACGGGGCTGGAGTCCATTTCTGAAATTAAAACATACTCCATAAACGGACCTAGAAGGCCATAAGCTCCATGGATTTGCTTTAAACTAAGACAGTTTGTAAAGCGTTGAGCATTCGTTCCTCTTAAACTCAGCAATTTGTAAATCAAGAGCACATGTTTCCATAAAGCTAAAACTTATTGCTTTGACATATTCCAAAACACATAAAAGTCTGGTGCTGGAAATGGAGCATTTCAAAGACACGCGGGGCCCTCCCTGAACTGCAAAGCTAGATTGCGCAATCTTGGCCCGCTTCCTGCGGGAAGGTTGGTTACAGGAACGAGCGACTGCGTGGCAATTTTTCAAGAAGTACTTTCCCTCACTACGGTTTTGGTGGCTGGATGACAGCTGAAGACGGCTACCCCAGGTGAGCATTTCTGGCTTTATTCTACTTGAAAAGGGCCCACCCTAACTCTCTGCGGGGTTTCCTACCATCCCTCCCATGCTGGGCCTTTGAATGAACCTCGGCCTTTCCAAGCAGTATTTCAGCTCTTGACGTTGGCTAGGGACTCGCTCCCCAGGCCAGAAGAGAAACGAGGGGCCACTTAATTCCAAAAAGCTTCCTCCAGAACAAATGGTCTCAGCTTTGCGTGTCCTGCTTTCTGCAAGCCACAGGGCTCCCGGAGGGCCACTCTGGCCGCACAGTGCTGGCAGCGGCGGACAGGCGAGCCCAAGGCACGCAGCTGCACAAGCGCCCAGGTTTCCATCGCCCACAGACCAGATGCTCCCAACCTGCTGAAAATCTAGCAGCTTTGGGTGCCAGGATGAGAGCTGAGCCTTCCAAGGGCACAGGGAGCTCAGGGAAGGGCTGTCAGAGGCCACCTAGGGTCATGCTGGCAGTAGACCTAGACCCTCGCTGAGACACGGCCAAGCTCAGTCTGGGAAGGCTTTTGGCCACCGGACTGAGTTCAGTCTCCTTTTATTCATCCCAAAAGCCGTTTCAGAATTTTCCTACAAGACCCATACAACATTTTACATAATGCATTGAGTTTTGCACTAGTTCTCAGAAACCTAGAACCAGATAGATTTCTTTCCAGCTCTCAAATTCAAATTTGCAAAAAGTAGTCCCTCTTTGGGACCCAATTTTCTTTTCTCTACTGCTTTCCCTTCCCCCCCCCCTTTTTTATAGCTTCTCTTAAATTAAGAGGTTTTGCAAAGTCTTTCTAAGAGTTGACCTGCTAAGCCTTACCAAAGAAAACTTTTAGTCTACAAAACAGAAGCATTAAAATCTGTTTTCTCATGCTTGCCTTCTGAGATCATCCATTATAAACCATGACTGAACTCTCAACACATAGCATTTGGAAGTCCTGGAGGCCAGCTTGAGCATGTTTTGGGCTTCCTAATTCCTGGCAAATGCAATTCACATACCTGTCCCAAATAGAGAAGTGTGGTGTGAGGTCCCGAGGAGGAGCTAGAAAGGGGCCTTCTGAACAGGTTGTGTCCCAGCCCCAGTGAGCTTCTGGGTTTGTTTGTGTGTGGTGGCAGCACAGAGCTCGAGCACCAACGGGCTCTACCTGCCCTGCTTCCTGCAGCAACGGCAAGTCCCCAGCCAGACCTCCTACCTTTTTTCTGATAACTATGTTACTAGAGATCCTAAATTCCTCCCCTCCCTCTTCCTACTCCACTGTGAGAAATAACGAGCAGAGGGAAGGTGATTAAAGGAGACTGAGCCATAGTAAAAAGGGTTATCTTCGGTGAGCGCTCGCCCTTTCACCGTCCAAGCCATTTGCCTTCGGCATGTTGCCTCCCAAGCACCTGCTTCTGACACCTCCCTTGCATTTCTCTGTTTAAAACGAACTTCTCCTCCAAAAGAGATGCATTTATAAATGTTTCACCCACAAAGCCTGAACATTATCAACTAAAGGTAAGGGATGACCTTACAGATACGGTATTTATGTCCTAAGGAACAATTTCCAGAAGAAGGAAAATGCAACACAGGCTATTTCTGAGTGTTTCTTTTGGCATGATGCAGAGGAAGCGAAAGGAAGTTATATATACATATTTGTGGTAAGAGCAGCATTGGCAGCAAGCAGCCATTACGCCACAGGCCACATTAAGTATAAACTGCGATGAGGTACGTTAAGTTGGCTATCGTGCTTGAGCTACTAGATTCCTTTCCCACAGACCCCCGTACACTAGTAGTCAGATGCTGTCAATTTTACATGCGCTAAGGAATACTCTACTGTATGAAGAGTCAAGTATCGTCTTAGGTGCCACAGTTTATTAAGATATGAAAAAAGAGAAATTTAACTGGTCCCATCTGCCACGGATGGCTGGCTCTTGCTACTACCACACAACACAGCACGAAGAGCACTAAAGGAACTTTTTTTCCCTGAAGGAAACAGCCTATACTGCTACTCAGTAGCAACTTTAAGGGTGCCCACAAATTTCATAGGGGAAAAAGCATTCATGAGATTTGCACAAGCAAATCTGGAAAAGAAAGAGGCTGTTCTGCCCAAAATAAGACTGATACATTGAGTTTGAGTCTTTACTGGAAACAGGAATAGTTCTTTGACTTCCTTAATGAAAACCTTTTCTA